TTACGCTTCGCTGAATTCTGGATTTCTAGTTCGTCTGGTTACACCGATATAAGTCCGAAACTTAATTCTCACATGGACGTACAAAGACAAGCACACGACGCCAGAAGCTCCGTCGCGACAGCGGAACGAAGCAGATTAAATGTTGGCATTCGTTCACACCTTATACCCGACAGAAAAAAGCAAGGCTGCTCTGCGGAGACTGATGACACACTTGGTATACCACTACGAAATTATGCATATGTAAATTAACTTTGATCAGTTTTTGTCCAAACTTCTTTCCAGTTTAATTGAAATTATGCAATGTCGCGTTTCACGTTTTACTACGAAAAGCGATTGAAACCGAACCGTTTATTGGACATTTTCGCTGCAGGGGAATCACTGACCGGAAACACGAGGTAGTGACTTCTGAAAAACATCTGAGCGCAAGAAAATCTATGTGGATTTCATCTGAAAATTTCGCAAAATACTTCAAAGTTTTTAGACAGAATTCTTTCGAAGCCAAGTGCGTTGATGACGCTTTATAACTACTCATAAATAATGGGGAATTAAGAACTGTACGTTTATTTTCCCACACAGGATGCTTACTTGTGATCGGAAAACACAATTCAACAATCGACCCCATAAACGGATGCAGGCCAAAGTAGCTTCTGTTCCATCCAATGTTTTCAAGGTTTATCCGCAAAGTGTTTATCAGCTAGTCAAGCTCTTCACATTCTGGCCAGTTTTGTCTGGTTTGCATAAATGTAGAAATTCTTAGACATACAGTTCTTTTGCGGAATGAAAGCTAACAAAATTAGGGTTTTCATGATAGAACGAAATAATCAGTCGCGCTGAATGCATATTTCCATACAGACCAAGCACCCCAATAATTACCACTAAAAGCGCAAAATTGTTGCACAGCAGTGAGTGAAACATCCGGCGAAAATATAACTCAACATACAACAATCTGTTTAACTGGCTGAGAATGCAACACATGTATTGTGGCAATACGCTCACATTGAATTCAAGACTACTTTATTGAGCCTTTCATTTACAGTGGGCTCAAGAAGAAACCCTAGCTAACCCTCATTGTTCAACCAAATTATCAGACTTGTACGTATATTTATAGTTTAGATATATCGTCAAAATGAAGCCACCTTCATATCTTGGTGACCAACTTATTCGTCTTTTATGATCCTGTGACCTGAAGTGGCTGGAGCTTAGTTTTCTAAGGTTCACCTTGCCAAAAGGATTGGCGAAGAGCAGTTTAAAAGAAACGGGAATACACCTACCGCAAGAAATCGTAAAACAAGTTATGCTTTAGTGTACCTGCGAACTGCTCGATCCGACAGCAGTCTGAGTATTGTGTCTCTCTGAATCTGCATATAAAAGAAGCAATGCTGTTATTCGCCAAGAAATGACCGGCTAGATGCCGTTGACCCTAAAACACGCAAAATACTGTTGCCTAATTATTTATTGTATCAGCCAGCACACTGTTCAGTAGGAGAGAGTAGTAGTAGAGCCTGTAGTTTCTGTGCGCAGCTACATGAGGAGTCACTAGTACTAGCTTCACTCCTTGTGCAGTCCGACTAGTTCAGTCCTCCGACTGTTTTGTGTGCCAGACCGTATAGTCAGTGGCTTGAAATGGGTAACTGAAATAGGCAGTTCTTGCTAAGCTCCGTAGTCAGCAAGTCCAGGCTCTGACCACATAAAACGGGCTGTGAGCTAGTGAAAAATGCGTCTTCCATTGTCACAAAACCGAAAACTGTGAATTGTTGGATTGAGATGAGAGATACGTACCCAAAAATGGAAATGCTGCTCCTTAGTGCTTGCTAAATTTCGCGTCGCACGTAGAAAATAGTTGCGCTGTGAATTAAGGGGAAACCAAGTTTTTATGCAAAAGCTTGGATGTGAAAGGATGTGATCTTGGGGTTACCAGCGTACTGACCGATCCATCTGAAAACACAGGTTTCTGAAACTGAGGGAATTTCCCCACTTTCTGATGGTTGCTCAATAGACAACATCACCAAGCGTAAGTGCGGTGGAACACATCCAGGATAACCATTACCAGCTTGGAGATATCCTAACGGATGGCAACATTTGTATCCTACAATGCTGAGAAATGTGCGACATTACGCTATAACTTGTAGGATCTGATAGATGACGCCGGTAACCAGCTGGTGAACAGGTAACCGGTACAAATGTCCAATGTTCTGCAGGCTTCTGCACGTTTACACGCCGATTTTTATTCCATAAAATTTAGGCCGACTAATGTATTCGGCTCGTCGAAGACCGCCCTGTCTTTCTGCAGTGTACAGGCGTCCGATGGACTGACCACTGTGGACCGGGAAACCTTGTTCGGGTACATGTCGTTCATCTCCTGGACCTTCGAGCCAGTGCTTAGCATGCAACAAGGTTTGAATAATGTATGCTAAACAGAGGTTGCGGGAGACTCTAAAGCTCTTATCTGTGTTACATCAAGCTGTAAACAGTTGAATTTAGCCTACTTAACTACAAATAAGTAAAATTCCATCATATTATTCGTCAACAATGCTCCACAAATTTCAATATTGTGGGGTGACTAATTCATAGTTGACAGTGAATCATCAAAATTATCGTGCTGAAAAAACTACATATCTACACCTCAACGACTGACAAGTCAAAGAAATGACATGTAAACAGAAATTACATAATGGCTTTATTCTTTTTGCGAATTTTTCAAAGCCCGGTGCTTGATAACTGAGATTGTATCACGATGAAGACTCATAACGGTACGAAGTGTATGACCATTTTGGGCAATGCTTATTGCTTTGGTACTATTTCCTAACAGTGAGTATTTTCGGAAAATGCATTTTTTTCAGAAGCTGAATGGCGTAGGTGCTATTTGAGTCCAAGTACAACTTAAGGTTGACGGAAACTCGAGGACTTCGCCTACCTGATGAGCCCCAATTAGAGCGAGACCGGTCGTGGGCTGTCGCAGAGTTTTCAGCAACCTTGTGAGTAGTTTCCTTTATCAAAGTCTATTCGGACTTCCTTAAAGAGTATTTTTAAGAAAAATTACCAGACTAACAATTTTCTTAGAGAATTACGGCCCCGAGATGATGAAAAACCAACTTATTGTTCAGGCACTCAAAATTTTCCGCTGATTAGAAAAGCAACTAATGTTTTTATCATTCATTTTTCCTAGCAAATGTTCTCCCAAAAATTCGATGAGTGAAGAATTTTGCGTTGATGCGTTCATCGAAATTTGTTCCAGTAATCATCCATGGGTGAGCCGCCATCTTGCCTACCATTGATTAAGACTCCTAGCTCATTTGGAATAAATCTATTGCGTAACCGAATGCTATTTGACATCAGAAATCGCAAACAGATTGTTCTTTCCTGCTGTGAAATCTGGAGCAGTGCTGTGAACGGATTTAGTCATTGGACTGATTGATTATTTGTTGGTTCAGATGTACATGCGGAAACTTTAATGGGAAACAGCGTTCGAATGCTGGTTGAAATCTGAATATTTTGCACTGCGTAAATGGTAAATTTCTATAAATTTCGAGTCAGTGTTGATCATATTATCAAATATGATCATATCATTATATTATCATCATTATATTAATAGACATCCAAAACGTAATGGTGAAAAGGTTGTTGTGCATTGGGCGGTAGCGATAAAATTCAGGTTAACGCTAAATACTAACACTGATGCTTCATTAAGCAAATTATGGCTCAGCAGCAATAATTATGGCGGGGACAGTTTGTGATAGCAGTGGATGTATTTCAACCTCAGACGTGTTGGTAACGTGACGATTCTGACAGCAAAAACTACGGCTTAAGCTGCCAGATACAAGACTAGTTCTAGTTAATGTGATGTTTGTAGAACTCGCGCTCATATTACTCTCTGGGACGGGTCAGCCGTACGGTACATTCAGGATTGTAACCGGGACATTTTAGGCTTTGGATGCGTCAGTCACATTCCTCAAACTTAGATAACTTTGGAGGTTCAAACGTTATTATTGAGGCGTTTGCAGGATACCGCAGTAGAGCCATGCTTGTATCGCCTGCCAAATTTTAAGACTTCAAACTTCCTTGTAGTCAGGGGTTGAACACAGCTTGCTGGGCTTAAAAAGAGCAAAATTCATATCCAGTGCCTACTCTGCGGTGCCCATTTGACAAACGAACTGCATTAGGACAGATGGAACTGTTGGAACAACACTGAATATTGTGTCCACACTTTTATTTGGCCAAACGCTATAACTGGATGTTCTGGAATTTTTTTCATACAACAAAGATTGTCCTTTTGTGGAGAAAAAGTTTTGTAAAAGTTAAGGTGGGCACCAGGATCTCCTGATGATGTGTAATTTGAAAGCAAGTCGTATCTAGTGCATATGTGAAGGTGCCGTCAACCTTCCGATTCTACGAAGATGATAGACGTTCCTGTCGACGATTTTGAGGGTGTTCGTTGAACGTAGCTAGTGTAATACAAACTACTGTCTTGTTAAAAGTTATCACCGCTCCACCTACCAACCAATGACCCTCTGTTTCCCTCGACCAATCAAAAGCATCGGCATATTTCGCACTACGTTCACCTCGAGGTGGCAGGTGACATGCTGATTCTGGTTGGCTTGACTTAATCCAATCATTATTTAATCGTGCGGGCTACAAAACGCCAAGGCTAGACACCATTAGACTTGACTGAACTTTCGCGCGATCCATCAATGGGATACGCATGATTGTCACTGCAAGTGCTTTCTATCAGGATGTCATTTTAAGTGAGCGATCAGGATTCAGATTTACCTTTATATATCATATTGCATATTACATTCGCACTGTTATTGTGCAATATTCATTTTGTACTATGTTCTGCATTATGTTGTGTTACTCAGTTTATCGTTTGGCAAAAGTGAACCCAAGACGCACCGAAATTCCTCTTCGAAATATTATCTCAAGTAGGCGTTTTCCGTACACAATTCTATGAAGTGCGACTAGACGTTGTAGTGCAACTGGTCAGAATAATCAGTTTTTGTAAGGAGGTCGCAATGCTTAGATATCGTTAAAGCACATCTTACCACACACTGACGAGGTCCTCTTGGCCGGTGACAAGAACTGGACAAGAAAATTGCCAAGCTAGAGGAGAAGATCAGCGGCCATGTGATCAAATACCAGCTAACGCACCCGAGCTACCAATATCGTGGTACATTTCCAAGAAGGAAGACATTAGTATCCCTCATCTTTGCACGAGGGTTTAGGTACCCAACAGTACCGGGCTCAAATTTGCAAACTACCTTACGACAATTTTAATTTGATTAGGTACCATGGTACCAGACAGAAAGTATCTGACGGGTGCAATTCAATCTGCACACTTCTGAACAGCTACTCACAGCGTAAAGAACTAAACGATATTTCTGACCAATCCCTTATGCACCACCATTCATCTGCTTCAATCATCGCAAAGCATGTTTCCCTGTTTTAGATATATTTGGAGTGTTTTTAGGTTAAATGATTCAAAGTGACCTCCGAGCGCTTTTTTGGTGCTTGCAAACAATTTTAACAATTTTCCCGTCGTTTTCTTCAACTGGTGGTTGGTGTAGAATGACGAGCTTCCGTTGTTAGTAAATCTGCTCTGCTGAATCCACTCTCTACTCTTCTGATCAGTGGGTGCAAGACTACCAAACACGGGCTAAAGGGGTCAACCCCAAGGTTTCCAAAAGCCTACAGCACGCACAGTGGGCTAGGTATTATGACAGCCAACTGAATTAAAGTTAGTGGTATAGGGTGGACGTTTGCACATAAGTCATACAGATAAAATGCTTTGAAACCCATAGAAGCCATATATAACTGTCTGCGTTTGATGTGTCATAGGAAGGTACAAATCGCAGCCAACTTTGTGACTTTTACCGTGACTTTAAAGACAAGCGTTTACGTCTGCAGTCCTTACCACCTATATTCTTAGTTTTCACGTTATTCAACACCCGTGTGTGCCCGTTGATCAAATCACCTGAGGGACAAAATCAGTATTGGTACTCAGTTGGATTTCATTAAATTGAAACACCTGGTAATAAAGGAAAACACAGTTGAATGAAAATCTTTAGTTTATTTGGTCCATTTCTGGTTATGATATTGATATGCATGAATGATTTTAATTCAACACTTGGCATCTGTGCACACAACAAACTATGTGTCATTTAGGGAATAATGACAGAAAAACGGGCAATGTGTTGGTTGGTATAACAAGCAAAGCAAGACGATGGTGCTAAAGAAAATGCTTCGATGCTTGAGCGTTTTCACGATTCTTTAGCTTGAGCTTTTCACATACCCAGAAATCAAGGCACTCAAATATCAAAAGTGTCAATTTTGTTAAACAACACACCTGCTGACTAACTTTGAAGCTAATTGGTCCATTTAGACTGAGCACAATCAATGACGTCAGAAACATGAAGGGCTAACGAAAGCCACTAATCAAAAATGTGCTTCGGCGCTTGGCAACGCTGTTCCAAGCGGGATTACTATCGATTTATCGAATCGCCTCACGCAAGTGGCTTGCTGTTCCACGTTCTCTCATGCTTTTGCTGTTACCGGTGCAAGTGTATTGATTTACTTTGACGTAAAACCAGGTGACAGGTTTGTATATTACTGAACCTTGTATTTGAAGTTGCTTACCGAAACTCAGAAAATTTGTCGTTTGGCTCAACGGACTCTTTTTCTAGTAGCCTGAAAACCAGGTTTGATGTCCCAGCTATACTGAATAGCTCATCCTATGACCTACATAAACGGTTACCGTTATTCATTACAGATGCGTAAAGTATTCTCTTGCCAATTTGGCAAGCAGAAAATATGAAATTGAGTTTTACTCTGATTGGCGTGGGTTTAATCGCAATAGCAGTGTCATCGTTTGGTAAATACTATTATTTTCAGAATGATATGTCTTGACTCGTGTCCCCACCGTGATAAAAGAAAGATGTGGTCTATACTTCGTTGGTCAAGCTGCATCTCAGTAGTACGAGTGCTTCCTTTCAGATGCGGGTAGTCAAACGGTGAACCTTAGTTCGCCGAATCGAATTAGCAACCAGAGATTTATTGTATAGTCTGAACAATTGTAACTGATTTATGGATTCTTTCTGGTTCGACAACTGAATAAAACCAATACGGAATATTTAAGTACACTCATACAGAGCTTTTCTCGCGTATTGTGAGTGTTAGACATTGCTTGCTCTAATATAAGGAAGGCCTGCTAGTATTTAAGCCCCTAAAGCATCTCAACTTGTGTTTCTCCTGAATGGGTCTAATGGGCTAAATGCGAAAGAATCAGACTGGGCAATGATTACGTCCAAACCTTCTAATCACAGCTCTAAGGTCAAGCAATTTCTGGCCTCATTAATGTGCATAGCTTGGGTGAACCAAAGGATTTCTCGGCGTAGCATTTGCATTGAAACTCGGTTCAAATCTGGCAACTAACCGGCATGAGGTTTTACGGGTGATTACTATAAAGCCAAAGTGGACAGTCCCGGACCAGCAAACAATCATCCGTTTTTAGCGAACTACACTCATTTGCAAACAAACTTGGTTTTGCGAGAAACTCACCTAGAAACCAGCTGAAACTATCGATTTTGGTATTTTTAGGCAACTGAATGTTCTACGGCAAGTCGCCCCACGTTCCAGTCGCTACGATATTCGAGATATCGGGATAAACATATTTACGTAAAGCACTACTTATAAGGTTGATTAAGATTCATTGACAACTCACGCATGGTGCATTAAGTATACACGTATCGCGATATCTTAAATATCGTACCGGCTGAAACATGGGGCGGTCTGGTGTAGGACATTCAGCTGCCTGGAAACATCACAAACGATAGATTCAGCTGGGTTCCAGGTGAGCCTCTCGGAAAGCCGAATATGTTTGCAGATGAGTGCATTTAGCTAAATTCGTGCAATTTAGTTTTAAGTAGAACATACATTTGACGGAACCTAGGGAATCGCGCCTACCTGATAAGCCCTAGTAGGGGCAAAACTGGTCGTGGGTCATTGAAGAATTTTTAGCAAACTTATGAGTAGTGTATAATCATCCGTATTATCCTTATTTACACGTGATAGGAAAATTCACCCAGATTTGTTTGTTGCCGGCCAACGCTACATAATCTTGAACTTATGTAGAACACTTTCCCATAATAATACCTACTTTCCAGTACAAAGTTGGAATACTTGCTTTTTAGAACCAGACTCAGCTGATAGAAATTTGAACGCAGGTGTGGAATGGGCTAACAGTATTCTGCAGTTAAAAAAATAACTAGCAGGATTTTTCAAAAGATGCAACAGATGTTTGTCTCAACGATGTTTGAAAAAAAACACTGAAGTTAATGTGTTAACCATATAATTCAACAAAACTGGCGCGTATATCTCAGTGTCATTGATATTGTGCGATGATATTTGGAAGCAGAAAGGCGCTAGGAGAGTAAATTGTTTGGAAAAGATCCGACAGACGTGAACCTGGGGTACCAAACGATGAATATTTTCACGAGCGATTCACATGTTTAAATGGAACTTAATGTGTCATCTTGCTTTATGTCATTCTGTGAGTTATTCCAGATGCTGTTCAAAGTAAGATGTCACAACCCTGAATGATGCTTATACCCAGTTCAGTAAAACTGACTTTGACGTTACCCAAATTCTGAATTTTCTGTGATGTCGTTCTTTGTGATATGGAATAAATATGGAAAAACTAATGCCGGTTTGACAGTAAAGATTATCTTATCTTGTCAATCCGTAGTTTAGTTCTGGTTGACTATTTATCGCTTGACGTCAACTTATGTTTACCAATCATCCGCAATCTTTCAAAAAGTTTTGGATAGAATGTAAGCTGAGACAAAGTTGAGACAAATGAATAATATTTGGAGAGCCAAAACGGTAATTGCTAGCCACTCTGGTGGAAAACCTCATCAAACGTTTGATTTTTCGTTGGGTTTTTCACTGCTTGTGCACACAAGAAAATATATACTTTCAATTTACCGGACATTTGGGTCTTCAGAATCATTTCTGACTACTTGACTACGTATAAAGAGGTATTTTATTTGTCCGAACTGCTAGGTGATTCTCATGAGGGACGTGATTAGTGTAAAGCAGTCTTTGTCAATGACTTGAAGGTAAGGCGTTCCACCCATTTGGTGACCGTCTGTCAGTAGCGATTTTCAGGACGAAACAGAACTAGTGCTGGCTTTACACTTAATTCATTTTTACATTGCAAAGAAACGTTTTTAGACGCGGTTATGTATACATCATGCACAAAGTATTTAATTCTTATGATCTCATAAACCCAAACCTGGACGGAACATTCCTGTTCTCCCAAAGGCATCCTAGCGTAAACGTAAACCCAAATCCAAGTTAGACATGCGAAACAAACGCCACAGGAAAATAAATTTTACCGCTACATTCTGACAGAAAAAAACACTAAAATAACAATCGAATTATGTGAGTTGCGCAGTTATCCAGGCCTACCTGCAGGCATAAACCTGTTCGCAAACATAATTCAGATGAACTTGTAGACCTATCGAAAGGTACGTCTGGTTTTCTAAAATTGTTCATTCTCTAATTACACTTGACGCAAGTAATACGCTGTGATCTCAATTTATCACCCCAAGATGATTACGGTCAAAGTTTTGTTTTTGAGATGAGACCGGTATGCTCCGTACTACAACGGAGTTGGACACACAAACCAATCTAGGGTGGAGGGTGCTAGAGACATCCGAGACTATTCGAGCTATTCGAGACATACAACCCTATGAACGATACAGTACGTTACTGCGCCTTTCATCCTTCCTCCGTGTCTTCATTAAATCGTGACTGGATCAATTACGATGGGGAATGCATTCATAATCACCCAAAAAGGGGTGAAAAGGTTGACTTGACAATGGTTTCAAAAAAGCATTTTCGCTACCCATTTTCGAAGTTCTAGATGCGTTGCTACACTTTGGGTGATATGACCTTAAAGCGTACTGTCGCCCAAGCGGCTTTTCGAATACGAGAAAGATTTTTTTGAACTTTCAACTTTCTTTTAGCCGTTACCACAAAATGAAAACATCCATAGGCTTGCCCTTAATATATATTCTCACGAGTAAACGCCTGAATGTAATGTGTTCGAACAAACTAATTTTCACTGATTCAAGTATTTACGCTGTTTACGAAATAGTAAACGAACATTTGGTTTCACTTATCATTCTCCAAATATCATTCGACATTTTCTGAGTAGGTAATTCAGGCTTGAGTCGTATTTGTATTTGCGCTTTCGGATCAGTGTTGTTCTGTTTGTGATTGAATGCTTTCTATATAGAATGGAAATTTCACATGTAGCCTGTGAACTACAACAATTAATTTGGCTATTTGTGACTAAGTGGTGGACATGAATTTGCTTTGAGAAGGCTTGTAAAGAAGGGATGTTGCTACCTATACGGAAATTCCAATCCTGACCATGCTTTGAGACACGCCACTGTCAGCACATTTCAAACATCCAGGAATATAGCGTCCGAACAAGCAACTACGCCTATACTTTGAACGAGTTTATTGGCTTGCTCCGGCACACTGACGTTAGGCTTACATTAGTGTAGACATGTCGAGGAAAAAGATCCCTGCGTGACTGCAAACAAGCACTACTGATGAATTCCAGTGCAAGCAAAATTCGTATATGAGGCCCTTTTTTGTGGCCTAATGTGAGTCAAAGGGATATTCGAAATGAGACTAAGGTAAGCGAAAATAGCTTCTTACATTTCAGCTATGCTCTTGAAATTTCAAAGTGAACCAGCGAGGTAATTTGATTGAGTGATCAGCATATAATTCTGATCAGGAGTGAGCCAAATCAATGATCGCCAAGTGCTCGCAGATAAGTTTTAATGCGTTAGATTCAACGCTTTTCGCCCAACAATTTACATACAAGGGTAGAGCCTGTACCGAGTTATCACGTGGACAGAGTGCTGAAAAGGCAAATGCTGCCCAGCGCTCCTCATGGGACTCTCATCGAGCAGCTAGAATCCTACGTTTGCACCGCACATTAAGTGAAGGAATATGAAAGTACATGCATGAATAAATTAATATAAAATATAGTTGACCGGAATGGCAATCGAACACAATACGCCCGAGTTCAGGACACCAACACTGTGACCTATAGATGTTACGCACGTCGCAGTCTAGGAAGACCGCGATGTGGTTGTCGCTGTGTGCACTGTGACAGACGCACGTGCTCCGAGGACTAGGGGAATACAGCAAACAAAGCTTATGCATAAAAAGCTTTGATGACAGAACTGGACAAGGCAGTCTGTAGGCAACTAGTCCAATTACTGTGACTGTCCGATGTTGGACTGGTTTGAGTTGGCTAAGTGGTATTTCGTAGACTAACTGAAGGGCTCGGTTGTTGTCCATGAAACCGTGCAGTGGAACTGCTACTGGTCTTCCCCTTTCCGGATCTAAATCAGTGTGAGTTATCCCGTTTGATTTGCTGGCTGAGTAGCGCGTGGTGATACATCCAAAATACTCAACTGCAAAGTGCGGCACTCTTCACTTGGTATCAAGGTCCATCAATCCTTCGGTCAGGAACCAGAACCAGTGCATAGCTCCAAGACACGTTCCGCTCAGAATGCAATAAAACCGTTGGCCGAGTTTGTGAGCAAATCAACTTTGAGCAGAGGATAGTATGAATGGGCTGTCGCCCCACGGTAGTAACTTAATGGTTCGTTATTCACCATCCCATATTAAACCTAGTGATACTTTATGGAGTCCGTTTTCTCGTAATCTACTTTGTTATGGCGTCTCAAGACCAGACTTTACTGGCAAGTTAATGAAGCTGTGGCTAATGTCTCAATAATTTTGCAAGGGTGCAACACTATTCAAGTAGACATACTACTCAACTGGGGTAGCATTTCTCTATACAAAGCAATGTAGTGACCACCCGAAACCTTAGTAAAACAGCAAACAATAGATCGCCTTTATATCTGTTAAATTAGATGAACAAACCATCCGCAAAAAGCCGCAAATATATTTAGGACTTAATCGACTTTCACCGGTCAGGATGTGTATCGGGTTGCAAGGAAGACTTCATAGGCTATTTTGGGGTGGTGTAAATTTATAGAAGTCTGAAAATGCCACCATGAAAATTGTGATGAGACAGAAATTAAAATGGGACGAACCCAATCTTTATTCCTTCTCATACCGACTTTGAACTCCGGTTTTGAAGCACGTACACATGTCCCGTCTAATGAATGTCAACAGTTTTCAGACAAGCTTTGCACAGATACAGCCGAGAGTAGACATGATCAAATCAAGCAGCTGGAAATTCCCTTGGTTCGAAATCTGAGGGCAATTTACTCTTCTCCTACGCGACTTTGTCCCAAAGAATTTCTAGATGAATTCTACACGATCAATGTAGCCACGTTGCAGAATAGAGGTGTGGAATGTGACGAACGAATAGATTCTTTGGGGTTGATTTGAAAACGTGAACAATTCGAGACGGCTGTTACACTGTGAAAGCACAGTTCGCATTCCTTGCATATTCTTCAAATTACGAAAACGCTAACCACTGAGAAAGCACTGTTAGTCATATAGCTCAAGTGGATAGCTTACGTTTCAGGAACCGAGGATGATACGGGAGGTTTTGGATCCTTCCGATGACCAACTTTGTCGAGAGTGCACAAAGCAACAATGATCCAGTTTCTCATACCAGATGATAATAAAGTACCCAATTATCATAGAATCCTTCTGAAACAAACGAGGTTTTGAAATTTTTTTGATATTGATCCTTCACCCTAATACTTGGAAATTCAAGGGACGCTTTTGGGTTTAGCGTAGTGTATAAGAGCTATCATTGCAGCAGTAGCGTTAGACATCGGTCGAATCTTCTTGTGGCCAAATTTCCTATGAATTGTGCACATTTTTTCAAAAATTTTAATAAACATGTACTTTGAAAGATTAGCAGCTGGGCTAGTGTATTAGTAGCACAGAGTTCGAGATTTGTGAAACATCATATGAAAAAAGTTCATATGGTGGCATTCAACTCACATATGTATCCTGCCATTCGCCTGAGATCGGAACATTGCCATTTGAACATAAGAATTACCAGGAGTCGACAGGAGAAAGAGCTTCGTCAAACGGTGAGGGGGGTGACCTGGCTCATCCACTCAGGCCAAGTGGTGTCCCGCCAAATGAACACGCCCGCAGAGGTACAGCCGATGAATTTCTCTCATTCACAGAGCTATGTTAACCAATCCATTCATTCGATTGACTGCATTCCGGAAATCTGAACAACACCGCCCTTGGTCCCCTTGTTGTTCAGTTGGTTTTGTCTATAAAACGGAGCACAGCTCCATCCATGGGTTACTGACTGAAACGTTTACAAGCACCAATTGTGTATGGGCTAGTTACCACCTCCAATAGTTCCCGGCAGCCTTGTTCAAATGGTATTTCATGAGACATGGTAACATCAAACTTAATTGCGGACATAATAGTTAGGTAATATGAATTGTGGTAGCACGTCTCTCTGCATCTTTTACGGGGTTACTTTTCTTTTTGGCGGCATCCTGTGGGAGGCAGTGTTTGGTTCACAAGAGTATGGCAATTCGGGAAGGATAATAAAGCAGACAAGATGTTGCAAGATCTATCAAGGTTTTTACCAGGTCCTTTTTAAACAATAGTTGTCAGTACACAAACCTTCCAATCACAAGCGACGAGCATTAAAACATTAAAACATGCTTCACTATAAATGCTATCGTTTGAAAGCATTTAGACAGACTGCTAGGAAACAATAAGTTACCACATTTGGTATCTTTCACAGCAGAAGCCTATGCTAACATATGGAGCTCCATCCGGTAGAGGAAGCAAGTACATCAGGAGAAAAGTGCTTCAAATGAAAACCACAATAAAAAAACATTCTTTTATCACCATTAAGGTATTGAACAACTGGAAATTCCTTTGGAATATATTCACAAATCTTTGAGACTTGGTGAAGTCGTCTAGATAAAAACCATATTGAAATAAAAGACCAGTTAAACTGGTTCAGAAGATTAGTCCCTTCTGGAATAGATCATGATTTTTCTTGAAAGGATGCATTTAACGAGGCAAATCCTCACTAAATTTACTGACATTCGAGGTGTGAGAATGATATTGTCATTAGGATATTTACCGGGCACTTTCCTTTAAAACCCGGGGTAACTAAATAACCTTGCTTATCAATGAAAGTCAGAATATTGGAGTAGAATTCTAGGAACAAAACATGTGTACTCTAAAGTCTTTCAACCAATGAACTCTGTCGTGCTCTGTCAACCGTCGTCACAGAAATTACACAGTAGGCTATTATATCTAAAATACAATTTAACGCCATGAGGCATGCTAAGTTCAGCTGAATATGTTCGTTTCATAGGCACCAAACGGCCTCATACTTTTTGCAATCTACAATAAAGCATGTTGATTACGTAGTGGGTAGCAATATTCGACCCAGTGTGGAAACTAGTTTGGGGTCCAAAAGTAGCATTGACAGAATTTAAGTCACATTTCCGAGGCGTACAAATTCGCGTGTGAAGTTCCACTGCATTGATTTGACAGGGTTTGGGCTTATCCTCCACCACTTTTATGACCATCGGCATTGAAATTATGTAGTTTTGGACTAATTCTGAATATGCAGCCATAGTTTGCTGTTGCTCCATCGAGCGAAACCAGTAGAGCACCAGAATAAAGCTATGTGGCCGCCATTAATTAGCAAAACTGAGATCTGAATGGCTCACAAAAATTCAGACGCGTAAATCCCAACTTCAAAACTGTCAGCTAAAACAACAGCAAAGTTTCTGAAAACGTCTCCAAGAACGACACAAACTGCGTTAAATTGTTCTTTTTATGTATCACTCACAGACAAAGATGAAATGAGAAACTATTTTTGAAATAGTTTTTTACATCCCGTTGCTCGCGAACGCGTGAGTTCTTATCTCGATATTTGAACACTTGTAGCACGTAAATTGTGCTATTTACGGACCATATGGCGCTTCGTGACAAAAAGCGTCATGGCGGATAATGTTCATAACATACAGAAAAGGACCAAATTGAAGACCAGATGCAGATGTATCATGTTCACTGTGGTGCACTTTTGGCTTTGCCACCTACAACTAAGTCACTGCGCCGCCTATCCGATGCACAAAAACTGGCTTAATACGGCCAAACACTTCAAATAACGGTCGGTTATTATGCTGGTTCCCTGATATAAACATTGGATAGGGAATGCTGCGTTTCTTCCGTCAATTTGAAATATTTTGCAATAGTTTTCTCTCTGAAATAACCAAAATGAAGCAGCTGAATGACGGTTAATGTCGGTTCATTACTATCCTGTAGCTGCTAGACCTCTTTTCACAACAGGTCACTAGGGGTATCCGTAATCTGATTTCACCTTCTTTCTCAGTTGTCAAAAGTCACTCATTTCCAGCTTCGCCAAAGTCGCTGTTGGTTGTGGGTCTCGCGGCTGTTGATCTGCCTGGCGATTTGCCTGCAGACCCTTCGTCATCAAATGCCATGGCATCATCACTGCGTGGTTGCCTGTGGATCCGCGGTTAGTGATGAGATGTCCGCGAGGATAATATTAATGTCGGCAAACAGATCAACAAATACTTGATCTAAGACCAAGTGACGCACACTAGCTAACAATCTTTCGATGTATTACCAGATAAGTCGCTATACGGTTAGTGATGAGATGTCTGCGAGGATAATATTAATGTCAGCGAACAGAGCAACAAATACTTGATCTAAGACCAAGTGATGCACACTAGCTAACAAACTTTCGATGTATTACCAGATAAGTCGCTATAGCGAATCGATCAAAGCATTCGTTAGGCATCCAGAAAAAAGTCGATAAAATCTTCAAGTTACCGTGGACTCGATGTAAACACTGTTTTCCTTTGGTGACAAAACGTATCACACTAGTATTGATACCTTCAGATTAGATGGATATAGTGCTCACGGTAATAAAAGACAGGCTAAACAATTTGGTTTTCACTTCCGACGGCTATCCATCCAGCCTTTTAGTTGGGTCTAAAGCAGCAAAGTGTTAAGCATATACTCATGACGTTCGAACATTTCTTCCGTTTGCTTATTTTTCGCCAAATTTTTTGTCTGCCTTAGAAAGCTTGATAATGAGTGAACATTAAATCCAAAAATTAGTATACCCAAGTGAAATCCTTAGCAGGTAAAGCGTTCCCCTCGATGGTCTCCTAGCTCAAG